TTTTTTTTTGAGCTTTCTGAATATCAGCAGAATTTATGCTCTATATACCAGGTAAGTAGATTTACTTACTATATTGTTTCACAAATAGCATACCCTCATAAATTACACACACACACACACACACATATAATGGGTGGAAATGATGATATTATATTAAAAAACATTCTGGCATAGCACATCCATTCCTATACCACATATGTCTCATGACATTTCTGGAAGTGAATTTCTGCTTCATACTCACTCAGGAGCCAATTATTTACATAATAAAAGTGTATGTCATGGTTAAAAAGTCATGGATCAAGTTCAGTAGTGCCCCAACTATCAAAAAATCAACCACTAAATCTTTGCATTTGCTATGAAGCTGCCAAATGGGTGGGTCTGAGAGCAGCGGAGCTCCTTGTAGCCAATCTGTGCCTAGCTACATCATGCCAGAGACAGGCAGAGGGTTGGGCGAAGGGCTGTGTGGGGATTTGCAACACCCCAAGCATGGGATCGTTCCATGGCAGGTGGGGGTCATTGCCCACATGGGCCCATATCACATGCTGCAGGCCCTACATGAATCTGGGCAGTAGGACAGTGCAAGTATGGTACAGGCATGCACTGCCCCATTCCACAGGGACCCTGGACAGCCAGTCGTACCTATCTCATTGGAGCAAGAGATGCATGGCCCCTCTGACCCCTCTACACCCACGGTTCTCATACTAGCCCAGGAGTATCTGTGCAGGCAGGAGATTCAAATGACCCGAGCACAGCCCCTGACCTGCAGGACAGCGAGGCTGAACGCAAGCAGCTGCCACTGCCTCACCCGCCTTAGTGGCCTCTCTGGCCTGGGATTCACAGATCTGTGCACCTCTTGGACTATAGCTGGCCACCCAAGCAAAGGCTGTTTACAGTACAGAAAAAGTGATTTCTTCCTTCATTAGAGAAAGTAGTTTGTAGAGTAGGGAAGGAATCCTGATGAGAGGTAGCTGCTTTAAAAACTCAAAGAAAGGCTGGCGAGGGTCTACTGATGGGAACCAAACCTTTCTGTCAACAGAAACCAAGACAAAAGACTTAATATCAAATCCACTGGACAAAGAAAATAAAAATTGAAACTTAACAACATGTAAAAAAAAAATATATACAGCACACTCATGCAAAGGAGGTTGTAATGCAAGAATGTACAGTATGTGCATTATTTGTATAAAAACAGAGTGTGTAAGAAAATAGTGGTTCATTTTGAACAGAGGAGGTCTTACTTAAGGTTCAAAGTAAGTGATCAATGATGACCTTCATCTGTGTAATAGTGAAAATAACTCACACTACATAGTTTATGTTGGACTGAGTGCCATGCTTAAAAATCAACATTTTGACAGCAGTTTCAAAAACAAATCAACTTTAAAAACCTTGCTAAATCTTTCAGCTAGAAGTAGCTCCTCCAAAGGTGCCCTGATGCCCTGATAAAAAGATTCTACTAATAAATAATACTTGCTTATTTGGTAAATAAAAACCAAACTTAAGTATTCTAAATTCACAGATAATGTAAAACAGTACTAATCAAACTAAAATATGCTAAAGAGTGCTAATGAGACAGTGCCTAAGGCATCTGACTGCTAACCAGATGGTTGGTGGTTCAAACCTACCAGCTACTCCGTGGAAAGAAGACTGGGCAATCTACTTCCATAAAGATTGACCACCTCAGAAACCCAATGGGGGTCACTATGAGTTGGGATCAACTCGATGGCAGTAGGTTTAGTTTTTGGTTTTTTACTATGCTATTAGCACACAGTTCAATTTTTTCAAAAGTCCAAGAAATCGTAACTACTACTTAAAAATAAAAAAAGACATATATATAGATGTTATGTATATACAACTAATTATATACTTATACATAATTATATATGTTACATATAATTAACAATTGTCAAATATAATGGGGAGAAAATTTTTGTGCAGCTTTTTTAAATGATGTATTCTGTGGGGTGAGTCTCTGTTTCTGTTGTATCTATATTTCCATAGATTTCTGGGTTGTTTCTGCTTTTTACTTTTTTAATAAAAATTAAAACATTAAAAAGAGTTTTAAAAGAATTAATGAAGTCCAAAACATTTCCAGAATTCTAATTCTAGAAATAGTGCTAATAGACATTGTGCTTTATTATGTTACCAAAAATTAGTAAAACAGTTCTACTGAAAAGAAAAAAAATTAAAATTGCAAATTATAAATACAGGAGAGTATCTGTTCTCTAGATTAGTGTCAATCACACTCTTAAATTACAATGGCAAGATTTTAAATGGGTCAATTTTCTGCCCTTAATTTCATTTTCAAAGTTAAGAGAGGAGGAAAAAATGAAACATTTCACCTATCAATTTGCAAGCAGTTAAGAGTAGTAGAGAATGTATCCATGTAAGAAAGGGTGGGAGTTGAGTAGTATGTCAAAAAATCACCTAAAAACTACCAGAATGAATACAACAACACTTTGACTTGCAATGCTGTTGGAAAACTAATACCAGAAAATCAGTTAAAATTTCCAAAAATTGTCACTTAAAATTAGAATGTCCTCATATTGCCGTTTAATTATTCCTCTTTAAAACAAAATTCTTTGGATTCATTTTTCCCCCATTTCTTTCCGCACTTGACAGATATTTAGTCTACAGAATTCATAAACATTTCTTTACCTTGACTATCACTTAAAAATGGTAAAAATACCTTCCATCCCCCCAATTTCCCCTGACATAGAGATAAGTACGTAGAAATACAGAGGGAGTCAAAGAAGATTGCAGTATTTTCATTTAAACTCAAAATATTTAAATAATTTTTAAAAAGTCTATTTTTTCCCAGTACAAAATGTTTAGTATTTAACAAAGATTATGTAAAATGCATTTGCCTTTTATTTCTTCTACTTATTTATGTAAACAGATAAATAATAATGAAAAGTATGTAGCTTACTTCTATAAAACGATTTAGAAAATGCTTTATAATGGAGATGAGTATTAAAATTTCAAATAAAACTGTCATCATGCTACAAACCTCTTCATCCAACAACAGGTATACTAGAATTCAAGTATTTTTATAAGAAATGTATATGATAAAGAAACTGGATGTTGCCAGAACTTTGTATAACTTTCTTCCTTTTTTTTTTTTTTTTTTAAATTAATGTTTTCTTCTGTGGTCTTTTGATTCAGAAATATCTGAATTTAACTAAATTATTATCTTTTGTTTTCCCAGGGCAGATTTTTAAAACACTAAAAAATTTCCTCAATGATTCTACCCTACTAATTTGTAAAGTATCTTTGAATTCTTTAAATCAGATCTCTACATAGTAACTCCCTGTATAGCCTTTATTTTCTATTACCAAACCCATTGCCATCAAATTGATTCCAACTCATAGCAACCATCATAGGGTTTCCAAGGCTGTAATCTTTATGAAAGCAGAATGCCTTATATCTTTCTTCCACTGAGCAGCTGGCAGATTCAAACCACCCACCTATTTTATTAATATCCCAATGCCTTAACCACAACATCATCAGAGTTCCTTCTATTTCCTATTAAGGAATTCCTAAGTTGCAACAACAAAATAAAAAAAGGAAAAAAAAAAAAAAAGTATAACAAAAGGAAAAGTAAACATTAATACAAAATATGGTATTTTTTAGAAAAATTAAGTTGGTCCCTAAGTTTAAAAGAAAAAAATCCTGTAAACACCTCAACTCCTTTGTCCTATACATAACGATTTTCTACATGCACATTGCTACATGCATTTTTTTTCTCATGGCTTTTGATGAATTATATTAAACTATGCTGCAATAACACATTTTTGTGCACACCCTACCTTTTCTTAACTTTAGGGTTCTAAGAAGTATACTATCATTTCCGTAGTTGTTACCAGAACACTGGCAATTTTCTTGATAACCAAACTATGGAAAAAAAACCTGAACTCCCTTCTGATCTAGCACTGACTGGATTTTGCTGATGTATGGAACCACTAACTACCCTAACTAAAAAATAAATAAAGCATTCCATCACATGCACTAAATAACCTTGGAAAAAAATGTGGACTAAGAGCCAATTTTGTGACGTTACATTCATTGACAGTTTATTCTATTCTCTCCCTTTGTTTTCAACATATTATTAAAATTAGAGAAAATCAACTATATTAATATTTTTTAATTAGCATATATTATCTCATCATTAATTTTATCGACAGATTAACATTATCTTCCTTTATCTGGGTATACACTTTAGTGATCTGTTTTCCATAAGCAAAATCTAGGCAACTGTATTGCAAATACATTTAATATTTTAGACTCTTAACTTCACTACGTTTGGTAATTGAAATAGATTTAGCCTGGCAATATGCCAAATGTTTCAACAAGCAATTAGTAGAACAGAGCGCTACTTACTGGTTTTTAGTTATTAGTCACATGAATACTTAAAAGAGAAACAAGATAATTTCATTCAGAGATAAGTAGTAAATTTTAATAGACTCATACCACTCTAAGAAGACAAGCGTACAGCAGTACCTCCACAGCATATTCTAATAGCACATAATGTTAGAATTACTTTTCTGTGCAGAAACTTAACATCAGAAAAACCTTTTTAAATCAAGGGAAAATCGCATAAATTAATACAATCTTAATAAGCAAAGTGAAGCAGAGTAGATGTTTTTAAAGAGTTATACCTGAAAAGATAGTACATAAAAGAAAATTTACTTTAAAAATGTATTTTATCAATTTTCTAAGTATCAGTCAAATGTTTCATTATTCAATTACTACATTGAGAAAACAAGTCAACTGTCCTGAAGACAAATGCCTAATAAACATAAAAATAAACAAGCTTTAAAAACAAAACTAAGCAACTAACTTTCTAAATTAGGAAAAAAAAAAAAAGAGGTAAGCCAGTTTTCAAGCTCAGCTTTTTATGATTCACTTATTTCAAACTTATATTTTTATATCAGCTAACAACTTGTAACAATTTTCCTACTTTCAAAGACATTCTAATCAAACATGACATAAAGCTGATTTACCTTGGTTTGGCTGCATATTCATATTTGGTCTGGGGCCATAGTTTCCCATTGGCTGTCCTTGACTCATCGTTATCTGGTTCTGTACTGGCATGCTCTGTGATGATGGAACGGAATGGTTATAACCTCCCATGGATCCATGGCTACTTGAAGGCATGTTCATGGAACTATTTGTCATATTGAGCTGATTGGGTCCAGGTCCCTGCATAGGCATATGGTTAGGTCCTTTGAAGAAAAATGATCAAAAGCAAAATATTAAAGTTAAATAGATGATCTATACAAAAGTACTTGAGGAAGCTTTCTATTTTTTTTTACTTTATAGTAATAATAAAAATATGTGACACAATAACCGAGTATTTAATCATCAGCAAAGTAAATGCTTTACATGAATGATAGTGAAGCTATAAGATAGATGTTATTTAAAGAAAACTCACTGCCAGATGTTATTTATTATTCCCTTTATACAGATTGAGAAAGTGATGTTGAAAAGCTAGGAACATTCTGATTATAAGGGAGGACCAACCAGCTTTGTAAGAGAGTAAATAATAAAGCTTAAATAAGTAAATGCAGTACTAGCACATAAATGAATTAACAGATCAGTGGACCAGCACACAGTCTAAAAAACAGACCCAAATGCATAATGTAGTAGATGATAACAGTGATGAATGATGTCAAATACAATAGGTAAAAGAAAGATAATAAATGGTGACAACTGGGTAGCCATCTGAAAAAACTAGGCTGGATCGATCTCTATCTTATTTCTTGCACCAAAACTAACTCCAAGTGGATAAAAAAGTTAAACATTAAAAAAAAAAGGAAAACAAGAGGAACCATAAAAGAATATAATGTATGAGATAAATGTTTAATAATCTTAGAATTGTTTACTCCTAAATGGAAAGGCCTTAACTATGTCAGAAAATCCAGAGCTATAAAAGATTGATTAAAATTAGAGAACATAAAAATCAAAAATTTGTACATAAACAAAAAAATAAGAGGAAGAAGATTAAGTGGGGGGTGGGGTGGGGATCATTTGCAAAACATACAGACTAAATTAATTACTAATTAAATAAAAGACGACCACCACCAGTAAAAAAATGAAATAAGACATGAAAGACCAGTTCACACAAAAACTACAAAAGGGCTCAAATATATACATGAAAAGATTGCTTAACTTGTAACAGAAAGGCAAATTAGAACTATGAAACCATCTTTCATTTCTCAGATTTGCAGAGATCAAAAGTTTTGATCCAAATATAATAGGGAAAAAAAAGGACTCTGATACATTGTTGAAGGAATGTAAATAGTTATTAAATTTTAAAAAGCATATACCCTTGATCCAGCAATTGCAGATCTATCCTATAGATACACAAGTATATGTCTGTGTGGGCACATATACATGTGTGTATGGTATACACACACATATATATCTCTCTCTCCATGGTAGTATAATTTATAATAGCAAAACATTGGACACAACTTGCATTTCCATCATAAGAGAACTGTTCAATTAAATTAGAGTACACCCATTTAAAAAAAAAAAAAAAGCAAGCTCTTTAAAAAATGATCAATGGTAGTATTTAAATAATGCATACCATAATTTGTGTTGAAAAAGAAAAATAACAACACATAGGAACAGGAGAAGAACTAAAAAAAAGAAATGTATATATGCATGTGTTTTTATATACAGAGACTATCTCAGGAAGAGTAACTAGAAGCCAACAAGCCAATACCTCAATAAAATTAATAATCTGGAGATACAGGAGATACTATATACTTATTAAGGAGCAGTGGTGGCACCATGGTTAAAGCATTGGGTTGTTAACCAAAAGGTCAGCAGTTTGAACCCATCACAGCTGCTCCACGGAAGAAAGACAAAGCAGTCTGCTTACGTAAAGACAGACAGCCTTGGAAAACCGATGGGGCAGTTCTAATCTATCCCATAGGGTCATTATGAGTTGGAATTGACTCGATGGTGGTGGGTTTGACTTTGGTTTTTGTGCACTGTTTGGTACCTTTTTAGTATTATTTAGTAGTATATGCACATAATATCTAATTTTTGTGAAGGAAGACTGGGCAATCTACTTCCGTAAAGATTTACCACCTCAGAAACCCAATGGGGGTCACTATGAATCAGAATCGACTCAACAGCAGTGGGTTAGGTATCTAATTTTTAAAAAAACAATTATTGTTTTTTAAAAAAGGAAGAAACGGAGGCGGGGCAGGATGGCGGACTAGGCAGAAGGATTGCACAGACCCTCTTCAACAAAGAAAAGGGAAACCAATTAACACAGACACAGAAGATA